CCCTTCCATTCCTATAATCTATGAATCTATGAAACTTGAACATCTAGAAATCTATCTACTGGCCTACCACTGACATCAAGATAACGTACACAATGACTTACTACTTGATACCCATTTGCATCGGTGCATTCACCAGCCATGTATGCAAATTTTCTGAATGTGGTGAGAGAGTTCTTCACTTTTTCAACTGTGGAGTCTTTCACTGTTGCACCACATGCGTCTAGCCGGTCAGTCGAGTTTCTTGCAGGAAGATAGTGAGCATTTGCTGGTCTTGTTTGGAACCAGTGTTCAACTTCAGGATGAACAAGTGACAATGCACTTACCACACACTACAAACTGGAGGCCAATGTTATCTCTTGCTTAAATAGAAAGTAGGATGCCACGGCCATGTTTGTTCGCATGAACTGTTATGTCTCCAGTATTCTCATTAACACACCGGTGTTGCCCTTGCTTAGTGGAGACTCAGAGTTCAGAGGTGGTTTCACATGAGTTCACCTCCCAGGTGGGGGCAAGAAGGTACCTTGCTCGATCCTCCAGCTGCTCACTGTTCGCTCTAGCCACTGCTGTTCGTTGTGCCACCGTTCACTCCATCGCTGTGTTGCCAATGGCCCTGCGCCGTCACCTTCTGCGGCCACCTGCCACTGTGACCTCTGCAAGTTGGTCTCTTGAGGTTTCACCAGCTCTCCGTGATTTCAGCTGAGCTCTCAGTGGGGGAACCTCGCTGCTAGTGTAGGCTGGCCATCTCTTCCACAGAAACTGTCCCAGAGCAGGTCTAAGCACTTAGACCTGATTATCAGTGATTTCAGCTGTAGTGATCACTTAACAAAACAAAAGACTCTCTCTGGAGCCTAATCAGCTCTGTCTTTAAACAAGGGAGAGGGGCAGGTCAAATAGTACTTGTGACTCAGGCAGACCATCAAGCAAGACACCTGTCCCCACCCTCTCTCTTGATGCCCTCAATCAGCACAGGCTAAGTACAGTTCTACTGCCCTTTACTCATACAATAAGAACAACACTTGACTGCAGGAGTAATGAAATGTTGATTTGTAACCCAACCCCAGCCAAAATCGATCACTTGGGCAACACAGCTCTGTTTGCTGGATACCTAGGCAGATTAGGTGTGAATGTAAATACAATCTGGTCCTGAAGCCTTTCCCCACAGCCCACAGCTCATCACTAGCTGGCAGGGAGAGCTCCTAGACTTTGCTTACAAATCATCATTTGAAATTATTAGGTTGGCCAACATTACTGAAATGAATGCACTGACATGATCATAAAAACAACTGTATAATGAAGCTAGTCTGTTCATACTCTTCAAATCTATTCTACTTTTTCAGAGACCTATTTTATGATACACTTTATATGCTTTTAAAGTGTGTCTTAATGTTTGGTTTCAGAGTAGCAGCCGTGTTAGTCTGTATCCGCAAAAAGAACAGGAGTACTTGTGGCACCTTAGAGACTAACAAATTTATTAGAGCATAAGCTTTCGTGGACTACATAACATATGCATCCGAAGAAGTGGGCTGTAGTCCACG